TATGCTGTAATGTAAACACTGAATTTTCTCTGAAAAGACGATTTATTACTGAAAAAAGCCTGAAGGTAATGATTCTACTCACCAGAACAAATTCAATAAGCTGTCTGGTGACTATAGTGTCCCTTTAAATTCAGCTATTTGGAATACCATTTCATTTTTCTGTGATGTATTTGCTCTTACAACCTTTTACAACCTAAAATTCTAACATTTCTAGTAATACATAGCCTCAACTATTATCATCAGTCTAGTATAAATTATCTTCTGCAGACTATCAGCCATGACATTCCTCACATTCACCCCGAGTGAAGGAAACTGATTCAGGGTCAAACTTAATAAATTAAATGAACATAGACATAATGATGCAAACGCATGTTTTTTTGGCCCCACATTGCAGTGATGCTGGTGGATGACAAATGATAGATCCAAGATCCAAATGATTGAATTAAGCCATTCATCCCCAACACTGTGTGCAAAACATGCTCTTAAAGCGGCACTGTCATGGCCAAATCCTGTTTTTTTTAATCCCCCTCCTAACTCTACTAGATCTAATTGACCCCCTAGTCATACCCAAATACCCTAAGCACCCCATGTTAGGGTGATTCATTTTTAAACTTTATTTTGTGCAGTGGGTGGGGGCCATAAATAAAAATAAGGGGGGACACCTGTTGTCCTTCCCACCCATGACCGGTGGGTGGGAGCCCTAAATGAGAATGTGGGTGGGGGACCTATTGTCATCCCCCCCAGCCCACACCTATGACCGGCGGGTGGGGGCCCTAAATGAGAATGGGGCGGGAACTTATTGTCCCCCTCGGCCCCCACCGCTGAGCAGTGGGTGGGGGCCATAAATAACAACAAGGACATATTGTCCTCCACCCCAGCCACCACCCATGTGGGGGCAGTAAATGAGAATGTGGGGGGGGCGACCTATGGTCATCCCCCCGGGCCATCCCTGAGCAGCAGCTGGGGGCCATAAATACCAATAAGGGGGAGGACCTATTGTCCTCCCCCCGGCCCCCACTCATTCCCATTGGGTGGGGGCCCTAAATGAGAATGAGAGCAGCGGGTGGGGGCCATAAATAACAATTAGGGGGTACCTACTGGCCTCCCCCCCAGCCCCCACCCCTGAGTGGCGGGTGGGGGCCTTAAAACCAATATTGGGGGGGACCTATTGTCCTCTCCCCTGGCCCCCACCCCTGAAAAATAAAATAAAACTTACAATTTGATGTCTTATTTTTTCTAAAATGGGATTGTGGGGGCCCTAAATGAGAATGGGGCGGGAACCTATTGTCCCCCCGGCCCCCACCGCTGAGCAGTGGGTGGGGGCCATAAATAACAATAAGGACATATTGTCCTCTATCCCAGCCACCACCCATGACCGGTGTGTGGGGGCAGTAAATGAGAATGTGGGGGGGCGACCTATGGTCCTCCCCCCGGGCCATCCCTGAGCAGCAGCTGGGGACCATAAATACCAATAAGGGGGAGGAACTATTGTCCTCCCCCCGGCCCCCACTCATTCCCGTTGGGTGGGGGCCCTAAATGAGAATGAGGGGGGGACCTATTGTCCTCCCCCCGGGCCCCACCCCTGAGCAGCGGGTGGGGGCCATAAATAACAATTAGGGGGTACCTACTGGCCTCCCCCCCAGCCCCCACCCCTGAGTGGCGGGTGGGGGCCTTAAAAACAATATTGGGGGGACCTATTGTCCTCTCCCCCAGCCCCCACCCCTGAAAAATAAAATAAAACTTACAATTTGATGTCTTATTTTTTCAAAAATTATTTTTAAGCCCCAAAAAAGGCCAAATAAAAACCACAATACCCGTCGAACTTGTAAAAAACTAAAATGAAAAACCCAGGCGCAAAAAAAATCAGACGAAAAAGAAAAAAACAGACGCTAAAAACTCAATCCATTTTCACCAGGTGCGGGCATGGCTTATAAAGCCTTTCCATGCCCTGCAATTTGACTCAGAGTACTCTGATCGGTTTGCTTGGAATTCAACCAATCAGAGTGCTAGTCATTTTACACAGCGTCGGAAAGTTTTTGGGAATTTTCCCACCCTGTGTAAAATGACACAGAGCACTCTGATTGGTTGGATTTCAAGCAAACCAATCAGAGTGCTCTGAGTCAAACTGCAGTTTAATAGCCCCCACTCGCGCGACACAGGTGTTTTTTTTTGTTTGTTTTTTAACAGCGAGCAGCCACAGGCTGGACTAGACATGCCCCTACTCGCGGTATAGCAGTAGGGGCATGTCTAGTCTTTACTTAGTATTAGTACATTTGGCTGGAAGACCAATTTAGGTCTTTCAGCCTTTTGGTAAATAGCTACCTGATACCGAGGGAATTAGGGAGTTATCTACTAAGCGGCTGCAAGATGCAACCACAGCACGAATAGGATCAGAGTTTAATTTAGTCTACTGAAATTCCGATCCGAACAAAGTCCCGAATTGCATCCTAACATGAACGAACAAACTGTTCTCATTCTGTTAGTTTCGCCGGCGTTCTGTCTAAATGACAGGACATTTGGGAAAAGTGAAAGGAAGCATCGCGGGAACACGGAGGGAAGCTAAGAATTGTGGGAAAATTTCTCTGACCACTGGAAATGAAGCACACTTTGCTCCTCCGCTGGTCAGAGATGGTCAGGCGTAGGAAACCTCCAGAAGAGAAATTTTGTCTTATGTTTTAAAGAAAACTAGAGCAGACAGGAAGTAATGAAGAACAGATCCTGACAGAGGGAGATAATGTTCGGCATGACAGTGCCGCTTTAAACCTTTTCTTTAGGTCCATTGCTGTTCCTCTCCCATTCTGCAATAAAAATAAAGAAAACCCTCCCTCAAAACACCAGTAGATTCTTTACATATGCCAAAGTGGGACCATTTTATATACATTTTAGTTTCACCTTCTAAACGTACTAAATTCTTTGCTCTATGATGCTCATTTTTCTCACCTATTAGGCGATGAAGCAAAACAAAACTGTGCATTCTGTAATATGTGAATATGTGCCCGCAACATTTCTCCAATGAATGAATAAATGCATTCATAAAATATTTTGGCAATGTATACTTTGTTTTTCTACTTTTATGTGCCAGCAGTGTACATGTGATTAAAATAAACCTTATACTTCTTAACAGAAGTTTATTTGCAATATAAATAGATAGAAAAGTAGCATGGCCTGTTAGTTCATGTTAATCGCCGATACGCTAAAGCATGGTAAGAATTTCTGGAGGCATACTTTCTCTGTGACCTACAAAGTCTTGAGCACTCTGGTATAGAGCTACGAAGAGTAAATGTGCGACGTGGTTGGATTTAGTAGCATGTTCAAGATCTAGTTCATGGTTGCATCTTCCACAAGCAGAGATATTACAGAGATCCCTCCTCCACTTGGAACATGGTGCATTTGCTCAGTTGGTCACTCATAAGGACCACCTGTGGTCCAAGTATTAATGTCATCATTAGAACACAAATGTATAACCGCTAAATCAAGGTGATGGTGTTTGAAGACGGACCACAGAACACTGCTCTAAGCTACTCCTGGATATGACATGCTGGACACCTATACCCTCACAGGTTGCTGTTAATGGCATCTACTGAGGTGATGACGAGTGCCTTAGATTCTTATTAAAGAGAATTCTCAACACATTTAGAGTTAGTCACGAAATTACGGATTGTCAAAAGTTAAAGGGGAATTTCAAATTTTAGGCAAAACCAGGCAAATTGGACAAATTCTCAAATTATTGAATCTGCTCATATATTCATACCAGACTGTATTGCACTAGGCTATGGCCATGTTCTTTATTTTTTACAGTGTACATTAATACCATCTTACCTGAGAACCAACTACACTCCACCTTCTTTTCCATGTATATAAAAATTCTCAACCTAAGTTTTTGTTTTTAGGATGGCCATTTTGGTCTTAAATATAAACTTAACTTAGAATGTATGACAATTCAAACTTTAGTAAAGAGCCCAGTGTGAGTACCACATATTGGTGTAATGTGTTACATAAGGGACTACAGGGTGACTTGGAAAAAAATGTAAATGCTTAGATTCTAACTAAAAACTACTTTTAATTTAAAAAAAAACAACAATTTTTTTTTTTTTTTTGCATAATGGTTATCATACCAGCTGACACGATCACTCATAAATAATAATAAATGAGGAGCACAACCATAAAGATAAAAATAATCACTTTATTAATTGGGTCCACTATGCCAGGTATCCCAAAGAGCGTACTAAAAACATAAACAATAATATCAAAACAGCACTCCATGCAAAATATACAAAGTATACGAAAAAAACACATGTATTCACACAAACAGAAAAAAAGACACAGCAATGGTATTAATGGTATAAAGTCACAATGATATATTCAAGGAAACCTACCCAACATGAAAATACATACCATATAAAAAGGAAGAGAAAGAAACAGAAGTAGTGAGAAGAGGGAGATAGCCAGAATTGCCCCCCAACGTTTTGGCAAAATTGCCTACATCAGGGGAGCAATTGTCATGTATGCTGACAGACAATCAGTGGTTATACAAGATTGCGTTGTAGTCAGAAAGTAGATTATCTATCTTTTAAATCAGGAGTTCTAATGCAGTCTTCCAGTTTATCTTTCCAAGAATTGTAGTCCAACAACAGACAAGAGTTCAAGGTTGAAAATCCAGTGAGCTTTAGATTAGCAGAGGTGTTATCAAGAAAAACACGGAATTTTGTTTACATTTATTTCTATTCGACTTTATACAATTTTACCATCGTAAATCAGTGTATGTTTCCCCGTGATACATGTGAATCTTTATTGTACATGTAATATGTATATTATTGATTAGCTGTCTCTATATGACCTAGATAGGATACCTGCTGCCAAGATAATGTTTATTTTGTCTGGGAGGTAGGCATTTCCTATACTGTTTGGCAGCGTACCATGGAGAAAAAAAAAACAAAACAGTTAATTTCTCTTGAATTGATAACACGACCAAAGTTCAGCACAAAGTCCCATTTTCTCTCTTTTTCTTTTTTATGCAGTTTTGGTCGGCAGCATCTAACCCCTCAGGGTCCTAGAACCAATGTCCCTACAAGAAGAAAAGGGTCAGCCAGAGGAAAGGAGGGGGGTAAGTGTACTATGCGTGACACCCACTATTCTGTCTGAAATATAAACTTGGAAATTTTTATAACGGGACTTTGAAATGTTGCCATTTTTGTGTTAACACATTTTACTTTTGCGAAATGAAACATGTCTTGCTAGTGGATCCAAGTATTTCTTGTCCCAGTACCAGAATAGTATTTAAATAGTTTTCGAATTATAAGTACTCAAATGTATAAGGTATATTAAAGCAGGTGTGTGTTTATATACTAATTATGATCTACCTGTTATTTGCTATATGTAAGACTAAACTGAACCTCCTCGGGGTTATACATTTTCCTGGTATTTATAAAAATATAATGAATACATTTAATTTTATTATATATTAATATGCAAATATTTTAATAAAATAGATCTCCAAAATGCACACACATAGATTTAGAGATAGTGTATCTTGCCCCTTGCAGCTGTTGCATGCACTGGGTATTTAATTTTGTTAAGTGGTGTTCTGGCACAACTCCAAATGATGTCCACAGTGGAGGTGAAGGGCATGCCCTAGGGATTGCTACTGAACCATTAGTTTGTTGCACCCATTGGGCATTCAAAAGTAATCTGGGAATTATTATAGTATAGGTTTTTACTTTCTAATGAAGTAAAGAACCATACATTGACCTTTACAAATTGCATTTTAAGTTGGCGGAAAATCACATGGAATTGTCTTTATTTGCGTCCACCACAGTCCTTGAGGATGATAGATGCACAGTGCTAAATATCTGCCAGGGTCTCTGATGTACGAGAAGGCTTTATGACACAACCTTGCTCTTAAAAACCACATTCATCCATAGGTTAAGCACTTTCACTTATGATGGCAAACTAGGTATGGCTGAAGGGAAGTGGCAATGTAGGGTACTTGCTGACAGTTGGTGAAGCCCTGGCATTTTAGTTGCGCATGTAATAGTAGCTTGTTCACATTGTGCATAAGTTCCTTTTGGGTGCTTCTTCATAACTAGACCGCATTCTCTTGGCAGAATTGATGTCATTCATATTTCTTACATAACATATTATCTGGCCAGTGCCCACCTGGCATTAGCTCCACTTGCCCAGTGTCCAGCACTTACTGTTCTTTGTCGTTGAGATAAAGTCAAACTCTTAATTTCATCTCCCATCTAGAGGGTTAAGAGTGTATCTTAATGATCTCATATAACATTTCGTGCATTCTTAATAACTAATAAGTGATATATTAAATTGCGTGTTTATGTAATGACCTATCCTATTAAAGGTAAGGATAACAAAGGTAACAAAACAGTGATATTGATTAAGGGTTAGTCCTTGTCCTTTGTTGATGCCATTAACAATGGTGCAGCAGTCTTGATTTTTGACCATACCACCCATTGTTTATTCCCCTTCATCGCCAAGTAGAGGGCACAGTGGTGCTATGTTTTAATACCTAATAAATGCCCATAATGTAATATTCAGAAATGGTAAAATCTGACAGGTCAATGTTGATGCAAAGAGATTATTTTTCAAAGTCTTGTACCCTTTACTTTACCATTTTTTTTTCTAGTTTCTAATAATAAATATATAGTAGGCCCCTCACTTACATTAAAATGTGATTAGTCGTCTCCCCTAATTTTAGGTAAAATGTATTGTTCAGCCCCTATGAATTGCTGTTACCATGTAAAGCAGGGGTTCTCAACCCAGTCCTCAGGACCCCCTACCAGTCCAGGGTTTAGGGATTATCTGGGTGTGTCTCAGGTGTTTAGAAAAAGGGGAAAAAACACCTTAGACTCTAAGGTGTTCTTTTTTTTCTTTTTCTAAACACCTTAGACACACCCAGATAATCCCTAAACCCTGGACTGGTAGGGGGTCCTGAGGACTAACGTTGAGAACCCCTGATCTAAAGGCTTTCAGCTCAGCATCTAAATGCCAGATCTTAGTCCAGTTCCATTGCTGGCTGTGCGTGTGCACACAGGATGTATTCATGTGTCTACAATGTTGTATATGTGATGAAAGCATACCTGAATATCCACTTTGACAAAGTCCTCTGGGCACAAAAATGCCAGGCCTCTGTTTAACCCCTTAAGGACCAAACTTCTGGAATAAGAGGGAATCATAACATGTCACACATGTCATGTGACCTTAAGGGGTTAAACTTCCTCTCCCTCTATTGTCTTCAGCAATTAAATCTGTATAAATAGTGATACTTTTTAATCCAATATGGCAGTTTTGAGGTTTCCTTTTGTTGCTCCACGTGAAAGATCCCAATGCAATGTTTACTACCTTCTCAATAACATCATGGAGAGGCATGCCTTGTTACCTAGTCATCATAACCATAACTATTCAGGCACAGAACACATCCATCTTCTTCTTCTTGTTAAATCTCCATAAGCCATTTTGCCAGCACTGAATGTACACAGAGTTAATGTGTCCATGTTGGCAGCACCAAAACCATAAATTGCAAAACACATTTTCCCATTCAAACATTTTGAATGCATAATGAGGATAGTTAAGTTTTCTTAAATGATATCCCAAGCTAAAGGTAAGCTATAATACCAGGAACGCCTCTGTTTTTTGGCAAATCACTTGAAATAAAGTGTGACAAAGACAAAGGCTCAACCCATGGATTGTTCACAACTTACCACTAAAAAAAGCTGTAAGGGTTATTCCAAAACCAATACCCATGTCCTATCCGATCGTCTCATGAAGTCAGTCGAGGCCGAGGATCTCCTTCAAATAGTCACTGACTTGTTGGTTGATGAACTTGTCCAACAAAATCATGATAGTTTTATTCTTCTTGGCGCAAGGCAGGAATACATTAAAGTCCAAATATAACCCTAAGGTCTTAGTGTCTTGGGGAAACAATGTTTTGGAATGGTTACTGTTGCAATCATAGTTATTGTTATAAATTTGTAAGGAAAAGTAAATTAATGGAATGTAGTGGGACAAAATAGTCTTTGGAAAAGTGTGTAATTAACAAAATAAATTTGTTTCCAAATTTTTTTCCACATGTGCATTACGTCTAGTAAATTCTTCCCTTTGTTTCAGTAAATAATATTACAGCGTTAGGATTTTTGATCTGAACACTGTAGTTGCTTTCTATACGTCGCTCTTTACTCTTTATTTTGTTTCATTACAGAAGCTGACAGTCACGCTAGCCCTGGGTACTTTGGTGGCAACAATTGGGTCGTCGTTCCAGTACGGATACAATGTGGCCTCCGTGAACTCTCCTGCTCCAGTAAGTACTGATTTTTATCATTTAGATAATGACCGTCCACTTTGAAAAAACTGTTTGGGATGCATTTAAAACAGTGCAAATTTGATGCCCCCAAAATCAGTTGTATTTATTGACTCAGCCTCCCTCAGTTTATGTCCATTAGTCGTTGTTAGTACAAATGTTACAATGTGGCCACATAATGGGATACCTCTGCCTGTCTGCTGATAACATTCCGCCGATCCCCTTCCCACTCCCTCCCATACCAGCACTGTGGGGTCTTCTAATAATGTATCCCTCAAAAACAGCATTATGTTTCTTCTGATAATGTGCCCCTCATAACTAGCACTCTGTGTGTCCATTTTGTTTTGCTTTTGTCTTCATAGTGACACTTGTATTCATATATTTTGCAGTTTATGAAAGCATTTTACAATGAAACATACTCTGTGCATTATAAGAAAGACATCACTGGTAATGTCATGTCTGTGCTCTGGTCGCTCACAGTGTCCTTGTACCCACTGGGAGGATTTTTTGGCTCCTTAATGGTGGGCCCTCTGGTGAACAAAATTGGCAGGTAAGTCTGTAGACTACAGCTAGAAAATGTTCTGCATGCAGCGAATAATTCTGTTGTCATTTTCTGTTTTTTTTTTTATATATTAATTAGCTATCTAGGCATAATGATGTCAATCGGGTTATATTTCCATATTTGCTCTTGTAGGAGAGGTACACTCCTCTTGAACAACATCTTCTCCATTGTCCCAGCTATCTTGATGGGGACCAGTGTTGTGGCGCAAACCTTTGAAATTATCATCGTTTCTCGGTTTGTGATCGGTATCTGTGCAGGTATGTTATGCATCACAGAGAAAGCGATGCCAGTCTGGTACCCTGATGACCACTAAACTAACATATGTCTTGTAGGTCTATCCTCCAATGTCGTCCCTATGTACGTGGGAGAGATGTCACCCAAAAATCTTCGAGGAGGCATCGGAGTCATGCCCCAACTAATGATTACTGTTGGTATCCTTATGGCACAGATATTTGGAATTCGATTCATCCTTGGAAATACGGACGGTAAGATCTTCCTTAAATAAGGTGGGTTTTAAATGGTTATGGCAGTTGTAAAATCTAAAGGTACATTTTTTTATCTTTATTGTGGAAAACACTATTTTGTTTTAAAAATAGACATATTATCGTAAGGACACAAACTAGTAAATCATTAACTATATGATTATTGCAAGGTACGAGATATGGGTGCAATATAAAAAAGTTACCCTACAGTTTTTTATCTATATCTACCCAACCAACCTGACCATTTACTGCTCTCCACTGTGGAAGGTGGATTGTATGGTATAACAATAATATGTTCAGTACACCCAAACTACTTTTTATTCTTGGTCTATACATGGCATTTGCAGCACAGCCTGTCCACTAGTGTACACGGATGTACTGCAAAATGCCGCTCTCGTGATTTGATGCCATACATGGTCTATAAGACTAGGAGGTCAGGAAAGTTCTAGCATTGAGTCATCACTTATTAGGAACGAGTGTTAGTTTAAACTAAAGGGTTCAGGTTGGAGTCTGTTACCTTAGTAAAGTCACCGTAGATCATTAAGTGGTCCTATTTCAGATTTGCAATCTTGGAAACAGAAGAAAGGTTTGCTAAGGCTTACCTGAAAAGTTCTCTCTAGATTAAATCACTGCTCTCTTGGATCTTGTAAACATAGACAATAAAAATGTACATTACTGTTTTTGTACTGTCTTTTCCAGGTTGGCCAATATTGTTGGCCCTGACTGGTATCCCTGCTGTGCTAGAATTAGTCTTTCTACCCTTCTTCCCAGAGAGTCCAAGGTACACCTTACTTAACAAGGGTAATGAAGACAAGGCCAAGCGAGGTAAGTCTTGTTACCTTCAAGGTCCAGTTTACCAGCAGAACACTAGTAAAAAGACCTATGCTCACAATTTGTTTAGACCCCGTGCATGACCCACTACACATTTCTTGTATCATGTACATTACATCTTCAATAATAGCTTTTTTAATGTTTCATATACTTCTTTCATTTTTCAGTGGAGCTTGCAGTATGTGTACCTAAGGTAGAGTGATCTGTAAGGCAGTGATCTGTTTAATAACTCTAAAGTTGACATCTTTAAACTGACATTGTGTTTAAAGGTCATCAAAGATGTAACACTACTGTCCCAAATAATGATAAAAGTGTTTGGAGATCTGCACAATAAATGGACCCAAATCTGTTGTGATTTCCTTTGAAGCCCTGCAAAAATTGAGAGGATGGGAAGATGTTGATGGTGAAATAAAAGAGATGTATCTTGAGGATCAATCGGAGAAAGAAGAAGGAGAGCTATCCGTGAAGAACCTGTGCACCTTCCGTCCCCTACGTTGGCAACTCATCATTATAATTATCTTGAACATGGGACAACAGCTGTCTGGGATAAATGCGGTGAGACCTCGAGAACTTTGCTTGAATTCTTTAGATTCTTTAGAATCTGTAGATGTATAAGGGAATGCAGGAAGCTGCATTTAACTTGGGACCTTCATTCTGATTTAAATTACATTTACAATTAACTGCCAGATAGGATTTGGGGGATTGTAGTCTATAGGAATGTTCTCCAACCCAGTCCTCTTGGACCACCAAAAGTCAAGTTTTTTTTCAGTATATCCATTGGAATAAAACAGGGAAATTCATAAATCCTGGACTGATGGTGGTCCATGAGGACTGGGTTGGGGACTACATGTAGGTCTATCCTCCCATGTCGTCCCCATCGCATATAGTGCCAATATATAGTTATCATTAGAGACTTTAACAAAATGGAATATGACAAAGTTTTATGGTGGTTATTTAGGTTTACAAGGTTATTTTCACTAAAAAGAAGAATAGAGCCATATTTTACCATTAAAAAGGGACACTACCCACAATTTAGCTTTACATTTATTTGGATGCGGCCACGCTACAAAGGGGAAAGCAAGGAGGCACAATCAGAGGGGAGGGAGAGAAGAAACCACAAAGGGAGGGGGTGGAAAAGATCCCAAAGGGAGCTGGTGGGAAAGACACATAAGAGGGGCTGGGGAAGGGAAAAAAGAGAAACACAAAAGTGGCTGAGGGGAGAGACACATAGAGGGGCTAGGGGGAAAAGAGACACATAGAGGGGCATGGGGGGAAAAGAGACACGTAGAGGGGATGAGGGAAAAAACGCATGTAGAGCGGATGGGGAAAAGAGACACGTAGAGGGGATGGGGAAAAGAGACACACAGAGGGGCTGGGCGGGAGAAAGACACATGCAAAGTGGATGGGGGTCACAGGGACACACAGAGTAGCTGGAGAAGGGGAAAAAGAGACACACGAATAGGGCTTGGAAAGAAAGAGACACCTAGGGGCTTGAGAAGGGGAACAAAGGCAAAGCGGGGCTAAGAGATAAACAAGTGAAGTGAAGATGCAATTTTTTGGGGTGGGGGAAGCAAAAAATGTTTTCGCCTGTGTAGCCAAGGTTCCTTGCACCGGCCCTGATGGCCCAATAAAAAAAGATCAATGGGTGATGTCATAAATCGTATTAGAGTAGACTAAGCATGTCTAAATATTTTATGACCAAATAATGGAACATGCTAGGAAATGTTTTTTTGAAGGATGGATTTAGAATTTTTTTTTTCACTTGAAGTAAAGAGTAACATGTCATGTGTCCTTAAGGGGTTAAGTGTGAACTGCTGGAAATTCAATGTGACTTTCACATTTTAAGCCTTAAATTAGAGGGCCAAAATTTTTAATTCACATTCAATTCACTTTGAATCCCCTGCAGTTCACACAAGAACACATTGTTAATTGAGGTAGACATAACATAAAATTGTCTCAGGGTCAGAGAACAGAATGCATGCTTAAAGAGGAACACAAGGGACACAGACACGTATAATAAATTTAAAAAAGTAAATGAAGTAAAACTGCTTAAAACATTTTAATAGATGAGAACTGTTTAACAAATAATAATAAGTATATGTACCTTTCTGGTGGTCGTGTTTGTTTAACACATTTCAGTACGTTAGATTTGAAGTTTGTCTTTGACGTGCCATAAATTAGAACAGTCTGTGATTTCTCATTCATGGTCATCAATCCAAGCATCCGTTCTGAGGTCTACAGCTATTGTTTTGTGGTTGATTTTCACACAGCAAGTAGCATTAACATTTAAACTAACATTTAATAACCGTTGTGGAGTAGAGCTCTCAGACTACAAACAAAGCCGTATCATAAAGAAACTGCTTCCATTCTCTTTAACGGTGTTTTATTTATTTTATTTATTTGTCAAGGATAGACTGACCGCAAGCCTGCAGTAATGGCAAGCCAAAGAAATAAGCTTAATAAATAATTTCTTCTTAGAGTTATTAAAACAGGTTGATTTACAGTCACATTACATGTCACTGTCTGTGTGTGTGTGTGTCTGTGTGTGTGTGTGTGTGTGTGTATTTGTTTGTTTTTAGGTATATGATCATAATTAAAAATTCTAGAAAATATATTTCCAATGCATTATTTAACTGATGTCTTGCTTATAGGTTTATTACTATGCAGACAGTATATATGCAGAGGCTGGGCTTAATGATGAAACCATCCAGTATGTAACTGTGGGAACAGGATCAGTCAATGTTCTCATGACAGTGGCTGCGGTAAGTAGTGTTTGTGCAAGGTTGTATAAAGCTTAAATATGAGAGGACTTTAAAGGGACACTGTAGGCACCCAGACCACTTCAGCTCATTAAAGTGGTCTGGGTGTAGTGTCCCATCACCCTTAACCCGAAGCATGTAATTATTGCAGTTTTTTTAAAATAATTACAGGCTAGGGTTAACGCCTCCCTTAGCGGCTGTCTACCAGACAGCCACTAGAGGGACTTCTGGGTCTTTAGGCAACTTTTGGTCACCTAAATGACGCTGGACGTGCTTCTGCATTACCTTAATCCCCACAAAAAAACAAAGAATAATGCTTTCCTATGGGGAAATCCTAATGCGCGTTAGGTCGTCTCCCCTGCTGGCGGATGTCGGCGGGAGAGGAGTGAAGGCAGACCTGAGCCAGCACCGAGGGACCTCAGCACTGGACCCAGGTAAGTGACAGAAGGGGTTTTTAAGCAAGGGATGGGGGATCCTTGACAGAGGGGGAAGCTACAGTGCCAGGAAAACAAGTTTGTTTTTCAGGCACTATAGTATCTCTTAAATCATGCGGAAGGAACAGGTAAAGCTAGGCGCCCAGCAGACAAAATAAATCAGGCAGAAGGATGTGCACGGGGTTATCTCTGGAAGTGAGAATTAGCTAAACTAGAAGAATTCTTCAAGTCATCCATGATTCCAGTTCAACTAGTTTGGCCTTACATTTGAAATTCACTTTGAATTTCTGACAATTGTCGCATTAGTGAATGAACCTGTAAGACAGAAATATTTTATATAAATTTATTATCAAAATAGTCATTCGAGACAGAAAGCAAAGGAGGCAATTTATATTAAAAATACACTTCGCAATATAAATTTACAAAATTTTTGAGTAGCACTTACAATGATGCCCGGTCACATACTTATTAAGCAGACATTGTATTTTGGAATGTTAATGTACTGGCAATTGGCTGGCAAGCTATAAGCTAGTCCCTCTTCACCTACTGTTCCTTTATTTCAAACGCGCTTTGTTAGAATGAATTGTTTGTCATGTTTACCTGTTGTACAGCGCTACAAAATATGTTGGAGCTATATAAATAATTGTAATTTCACTATGCTGCATTTGCTACCGATGTTGTTTTGGGGTCAAAAGAAGAGAGCTTGAAGATATGCCTGTTTTATGTCAACATAAAATCTACGTATTGTACAGGGAAAGGAGGCTGTGTGTGCAGTCTGCTTTCAAGTGGTTTATAAAGTAGACAAAACAAGTCGTCTTTGTCACCACTGTGAAATTGAGGTTGTGTCACAAGAAAGTCTGTCTAAGTTTGTCTAACCAATCAAATATCTTGCCCAAGCAAAGAGGAAGTAAAACATTCTCAATATTGACCGAACAGCAGAGGGATTGATTTTTGATACCAAGAAGACTTTTTTGTTTGTTTTTTGCAAACCATTTGAAAATGATTTGGGGGAAAAAAGAAAGACTCTTCTTTTTTCCTGTATGCACCATAACCACTATAATCATTCATTGTTGCCTGTTGCTGCGGCGGCAGTTCATAGGGCCTGACAACTTCATTTATAAGTAAGAAGAAATTTAGCGAGCTCACAATACAGTGAGGGGAAAAAAGTATTTGATCCCCTGCTGATTTTGAATGTTTGCCCACCGACAAAGAAATGATCAGTCTATAATTTTAATGGTAGGTGTATTTTAACAGTGAGAGACAAAATAACAACAACAACAAAAATACAGAAAAATGCATGTCAAAGTTATAAATTTATTTGCATGCCAATGAGTAAAATTTTGACCCCTTCGTACTTGGTGGCAAAACCCTTCCTGGATATCACAGAGGTCAGACGTTTCTTGTAGTTGGCCACCAGGTTTGCCCACATCTCAGGAGAGAATTTGTCCCACTCCTCTTTGCAGATCCTCTCCAAGTAATTAATGTTTTGAGGCTGACATGTGGCAACTTGAACCTTCAGCTCCCTCCACAGATTTTCTATGGGATTAAGGTCTGGAGACTGGCTAGGCCACTCCAGGACCTTAATGTGCTTATTTTTGAGCCACTCCTTTGTTGCCATGGCTGTGTGTTTTGGGTCATTGAATACCCATCCACGACCCATTTTCAATACCCTGGCTGAGGAAGGAGGTTCTCATCCAACATTTGACGGTACATAGTCCCGTCCATCGTCTCTTTGATGCGGTGCAATTGTTTTTTCCCCATAGCAGAAAAACACCTCCAAAGCATGATGTTTCCACCACCATGTTTGATGGTGGGGATGGTGTTCTTGGGGTCATAAGCAGCATTCCTCCTCCTCCAAACACAAAGAGTTGAGTTGATGCCAAAGAGCTCGATTTTGGTCTCATTTGACCATAACACTTTCACCCAGTTCTCTTCTGAATCATTGAGATGTTCATTGGAAAACTTCAGATGGACCTCTACTCGTGCTTTCTTGAGCAGGAGGGCCTTGCGGGCGCTGCAGGATTTCAGCCCTTCACGACATAGTGTGTTATCAATTGTTTTCCTGGTGACTATGTTACCAGCTGCCTTGAGATTATTAACAAGATCCTCCTGTGAGATTCCTCACCGTTCTCATGATCATTGAAACTCCACGAGGTGAGATCTTGCATGGTGCACCAGACTGAGCAAGACTGACAGTTATTTTGTGTTTCTTCCATTTGCGAATAATCGTACCAACTGTTGTCACCTTCTCACCAAGCTGCTTGGCAATGGTCTTGCAGCCCATTCCAGCCTTGTGTAGGTCTACAATCTTGTCCCTGACATCCTTGGTATTCCCTGAAATTCTTTAAGACTCCTTAAAGGCAAAATTTCTAAGCACAGAAATAGAATATTTAATGTTGATTTTTCTAACTATGTTGCTTTTCTGACTATGCAGAAGAATATTATTATTATTATCGCCATTTATATAGCGCCAACGGATTCCATAGCACTTTACAAGTAAGTTACACAATGGAGCATGTCCCTAAATTATGACTGTATTACTTGCAAAATTATGCCAGTGTTTAAAAAAGGTAAAACATGGGTAGTGAAATAGAACAACTGTAAGGGTTTGTTCAACTTAATTAATTGTCATATACTGACATCTAGTGGTATCATAAGATAATGCATGCCCAAATAAGAATTTATTGGAAGTCTTTTAAAGGAACTCTCCTGATTGATAAAGCATTTCCGTTTGCTGAAGTGCTTTTTTTGTTTGGAGCCTGGCATTTTTTTGACAGTTTTTAAATGTAACTATTTCAATAGAAATTGGCACTTTCATAACTGGGCACTAAAATGCCTCCCTGACTGCTTGGTTTTGGTCAACTGAACTAACAGAAGTGGCCATCCCCTTTTCTCAGAGAGCTGTACTAAAGCTTATTGAAAACCTTTGGAAAACCAGGAATGTGTGCGTCTGTGCAATTGTAGCTCCGGCAAAGAGGCTTTTCAATAAGAAGCCTCTGGTGAATTCCCCACCAGAAAGTCTGTGTAAGGGGAGGGCTTGCAAAAGCTGCAGACAAAAAAAACATGCATGTTGTCTTTGTATCTATTTTATTTATTTATTTTATATACTTATATTTATTTATAACATATTTTACCAGGAAGGATACATTGAGATTTCTCTTGTTTTCAAGTATGTCCTGGGTCTACAAAACATTGCATTGATACAATAGGGTACAATTAGATACAAAAACAATATTAATACAAAATATATACAAAATTTTACATAGAACAGGCAGGAAATATATAATCAACCATGACACGTGCAATCTGTTTTGAGGTATGTAGAGAGGGATCTCTTAAAGGACTTTAGGCTTGGGGAAGATTTGAAAGTGTGCGGGAGGTCGTTCCACAATTGCGGCGCTCTGTAGGAGAAGGAGGATCGGGCTGCTTTCTTTTTTTATTGAAGTAGACTAAATAAAGTGCTGGTACTGGATCGGAGGCTATAGGAGGTGGGAACAGCCAGGGAGAGCATTCTGCTCAGGTAGGGCGGGAGCTTCCCAGAAAAGCTCTTACATACAAGGCTGGAAAGATGAAGGGTGCGTATGGATTCCAGCAACAGCCAGTTTAGTTCTTTTAGCATATCACAATGGTGGGTCCTGTAATTACATTGTAGCACAAATCGGCAGAACGAGTTATACAATGTATTGAGTTTATTAATGTGGGATTGCAGTGCAGATGCATATACTACATCCCCATAATCAATGATTGGCATCAGCATTTGTTGTAAAATCTTTTATTTTACTGTAGGGCTTAGGCAGAATTTGTTTCTGTACAGGGCACCTAGTTTTGGATAAGGTTTAGATGCAAGTTTTTCTATGTAGATTGGGGTCTAACAACATACCCAGGTATTTGAAAGAGTGGACTGCGGTCAGTGTGCTATTTGAATTAGTTTTGATTGATAGATGGGAATTGTGTAATTTGTGTAATTCAGGTACTGTTCCAAAGATCATTGTGACAGTTTTGTCAGTGTTTACTAAATAGTAAAAAAAAATATATTTAGAAATAAATAAATAGAGGGTTCCTTTAAAGTTGTTTCATATAGGGAAATGTTTTATTTATTTATTTTAAACAAATATTTTAATGATCTAGAATGCTTGCACACCTGGTCCTGCTTTGTATTGTTTACAGACATCTAATCATTGGCGCTTATGGATACTATAATCACAGCAAGGCTTATCGTGTGCTAAGCACTGTTGCAGCCACTTTTTTCAGATCCATATTGTGTCTGTCATTTTTTTGTAACTGATATACTTGCAGGCCAAGCCAAAGGCAGGCTGGAAGTGAATAGAAATGTGTATGGGTGATTTCTAACTTGAAATGATCTGTACAGCTGCTTATCTCAGAATAAGAAGCCCTGGGTATCTTTTAGAGTTTAGATTTTTTTATAACTTCTATACATAAGGCGCTCTAAGCTGCATCAACTACAGAGACCCCTATTTACAGACCAAGCTTGTTCTTCAAAAATAGGAAATGCCAGTACCACAAATGTGTACTCTAGTCCACATTTTGTAAACGTAACCCTAACCTTGTTTATATGTATCATTGATCACATCTTTTATAACAGACAGGCACATGTCTATCCCCTAGCTGCACTCATAGAGAAAAAAAATCTATACTTTCTGGACCACACACATTGATTTTTCTTTTATGCAATGTGGATTGCAGAATTTGTTATGAATAGAGCTGAACAAACTACAAAGATGTTTATCACTTTGAAACACTGGCTGCATATTATACATAGTATGCAATTCAGCATCTGTTTTTTAACACAGTACATGTCACAGAACAAAATCCTACATCTTGTCATTGGGGGTACCCTGACATGCTTTACCAACAATCAAAAAATTATTTTTGTTAATATTGCTCAATATTCTGCAGCATTGTACAGTCTCAATATGGTGCTAATAATACAGAAAAAAGTATTTCTACACATTGTTATTATTATTATTACTATTGGCATTTCCATAGCCAACTAATAGCCAACTAGTTCCGCAGCGCTTTACAATATTATGAAAGTGTCACGGCTTCGCGGTCCCCCCTCCTCTTACCTGTAGGCAAGCGGCGTCCCCTCTGCACCGCACGCCGCTCGTGTCCTCCTCCTCGCCTCCCAGTGGCAGCATGTGTAACGCTGCACGCTGGGAGTCCTGGCATTTATGTAAACGCCAGGGTCACTCACTTGACCCGGCGTTAAAGCCACAGTACCCTAATCACAGTGGGAGGTATAGATGTCTCCCATGTGTGATTATTAATTCTGATTGGAAGTTATCCAATCAGAATTAAGCACTGCTGTTAAATACTTACCTTTCCTGTCTCTCAGTGCCCTGTTGTGGTCTTGTGATACCTGTAGTGCAGTTTGCTCGTGTTTCTCTCTGGTTACCGATTATTTGTCTTGTTATTTCGATTCTCCTATATTCTCCATTCCTTTGACCTCGGCTTGTTTCTCGTTCTCCTGTTTTCTGGCTCCCTTTACTTGGCTTGTCTCCTGACTATTCTTGTGTGCTTAACAGCCAAATGCCACTATTCTAAGGACCGGTATAGCACCCTTCCTCTCTGTGACCTGTTAGCGTGATAGGTTCCCGAACCGTGACAGAAAGCGGGGAACTTTCCAATAAATGAGACAATTACCCAACAACACAGAAACAATAAGTAAATGATTTATTAATAAATACATGCTACAGGGTTCCTGGAGTTTGTAATATATATATATTTTTTTTAATTCTCTAGGTTTTCATTGTCGATTCCTGGGGAAGGAAAGCTTTGCTGCTTGTAGGGTTTGGAACGTGCTGTGTGGGCTGCGTTGTTCTAACGATCGCTCTTGTTTACCAGGTGAGTTCACCGATGTTATAATAACACCAATTATATAGAAGTAACAGAGTGACTAAATGAAACATTACACGGCCTATTGGGTAAGTTAAGAGGGTCAGCCCAGTGCGCTCTGCCTATAATTGCTGTCTAACACAGGGGTCCACTTTCTTTTCATAATTGGGGCTGAAAATGTCAAGTCCTACACTACCAAACAGCAGACTTCAAGCCTTTAGGATCCACAACTTACTCACCAGGGTACATTTCAACTTGCCAGTGCTGGATATTTTAAAGGACACAATCATAAAAATAAATGTGATAATAATGTCTGTGGTTTTCATTTATAATGTTAAGTTAGTTCAATCTCTTAACAGTCAACTGTATCGTGGATGCCTTACCTGAGCATTGTCTGCATCATTGTCTATGTGATTGGTCATGCCACGGGACCCAGTAAGTAGTGTGAGGTTTGAAATGTCTTTTCTGTTGTACCATGTGTATTTTACATATTAATCATTTTGTCATACGAGATGATACTCTGTTTCCATTAAGCAAAGACCGGATTAGCAAGAAGACAGGGGTCTTCACAAAAAGTGTAAACTGTCGGGAACTCAAAGTGGATTTCAAATTGTATACCATCGAACCTGAAAAAATTCTCGAAGTCCGCTATAATTTAAATTTGGTTTGATGGTATAAAATGTGAAATTCATTTTCAAATCCTGATCAGAAGTGTACTAAATATTGGACGGTAGGTGCACAGAGCACTCGTCTCTCACCAAAGAAGCTCTGTAGAGGTTGTTTAGGGCTTCAGAGCGGTGTCGCCAGGGAGTTGATGGGATCTATCCGTACTGATTAGCCAGAACTCCCTCACATCAGTTCAGAACTGCTGGGAGCTGGGCAGTCTTTGAAGAGAGATCCCAGCAGCACCATACTTGTCCACAGGCATGAGGTTCCACACCAGCTCTCCCTGTAAAGGTAAGAACAGGGAGGCTGGGTGGACCTACTTGTAAAAAACAAACAACAGAATAAAAATTAAGTGTATGTATGAGTCTGAATGTGAATGAATGTGTGTGTGAGTCTGTGTGTATATGAATGTCTGTGTGTATATGAGTCTGTGTGCATATATAAATGTTTGTATGTATGTCCGTGTGTGCATCTGTATGTGTATATGAGTCGTCTGTTTGTGTAAATGAATGTGTGTGTGTATGAGTCTGTGTGAATATATAAATGTGGGTATATCAATGTGTTTGTGTATGAATCTATGTGTACGTATATCAGTGTGTGTGTTTGTGTATATGTCTACGTATTATGTGTATGAATATGAGTATGTGTGTGTAAGTTAACTAACACAGAGTTGTTGAGGGGTACAGAGTGAGACAAACCCCCACCCATACTCCTGACTTTACTACATTTGATTGTCTCCCTAGTCACCCCCACAGGCTGCTCACTGTTTAGTAGATATGCCCTTATTCGCAGCATAGTTAGTAGGGGCAGAAGGGATATATTAATCTCCCTTATTTACTAATACTAAGACATTTTTACTTTGTATTAGTATAGTTGGCTAAAAGAACAATTCTAGTCTTACAGCTTTTTAGTAGATAGCTCCCTAATAATGTGGGAATTAGGGGACTAGCTAGTAAACAGCTGCAGGATGCGTCTCCGAATGAAAGACCAAACCGAATTGCGTCCTAACATGAATTGACAAACTGCACTCATTCTGTTAGGACGAAATTCGGTCCATTCGCCAGCGCCCTAGTCTGCATGACAGGACGTTCGGGAATGTGGAGTGAATCAACGCGAGATCATGGAAATGGAGCCGACTTAAGCTCCTCCTTTGGTCAAAGAAGGTCAAGCGTAGGAAAAATACATAGCACGAAGTAGTCCCTACTTTATCTTATGTTTTAAAGAAAACTAGATGAGATAGAAAAAAAGAAGAACAGATTCTGAGAGAGGAAGAGGAAACAATAGGAGAAAGGTAAGTTCGGGGTCCCAGTGGCGCTTTAATGTTAGCCACCTTTTTACATCTGATATTGTATTCAGCATTGCCTTATATATATAGCATTTCCTTCCTTATACCTAAAGGGCCTGTGAGGGAGCCCTATCCTTTAGGTGTGTTGCCTTTATTTAAGTTTTTAAGCGCTGATCCTTCTGTACACTTTTCATGTAGTCCTTGTATATAAGCTGCTTGAAGCTCTTAATTTTTTTTAAAGGAATACGATCATGATAACCACAAAAGACCTGTTTTATTGAATGTATTTGTTGCCTTAATATTGAGCACAATTTTAAGTAAAGATTTTAGGGACACTATAGGTACTAGAACTACTACAGCTCAATGTACAATGTACAGCAACAATAGCATGCCCATGCCACCTCCTGTGTTCGGTTTTGGAATTTTCAGCAACTCCACACTTTGCATGGAGACACTAAACACTCCCGATAGAGATGCATTGAGTCAATGTATCACTGAGGAGATTGTGGAATCTGTCCTTCCAATGATTCCGTCTAGGGAGGCATTTGATTGAGATCACCTGTATTGATGATCAGCATTGGCATGTTTATATTCCTAACGCTTAAATGTTGCTTTTCTAATTAAAAATGTACATTGTGATTTTTTGATGAATGAATATGAAAGTACCTGACAACAGACTTATTTCCTTCTCAGGTCCGGTCCCCACCATAATCACAACTGAGATGTTCCGTCAAGCCTCCCGTCCAGCAGCCTTCATGGTGGCCGGCACCGCGCACTGGTTGTCAAACTTCATTGTTGGTCTAATCTTCGAATTCCTCATGGTGAGTTCATATTCCTGGTAATTAGACACTTTCATCTTTCCCTGCCATATGTCTTCAATAGCCATAGCAATTCTGGTTTACACATTATTATTAGTATCTTATTGTCATTAGAAAGGAGGAAGATTTACTCACAGGGTTATTCACTTAAAGTGAGAATTGTCAGGAATTAAAAGTGAATTTAGAGTGGATTTTCAAACATTAGGCCAAAATAGCCACATAGCACAGCTGACTTGTAGAATTTTCCCAGTTAAGCTATTTTTGGCCTTAAATTTAAAATTCACTTTGAATTTCTGCCAATTCTCACTTTATTAAATAAACCTGTATGTGTTCTAATGTAGAGTAAATCATTCATTATGTTGTACTCTATTACAAAATAATTTCTGCAAACGGTCTTCCTTATGTGAAAGATATCTCCATTGCACAAAGAAATCCCCCAACAGAAAACAATTTATCAAGGGCAGCTGTCTGAGCTGTCTTTTTTGGAGCCCCACTGGAATGGCCTGGAGACACGCTATTTTATATAGGGCAAGCAGGTGTACTTATATTTGGTAGAGTTCGGTAGAGGGAAAGTGTGTGGGTAACAAACGATCGATTTTTGCTTTGGGTCCAGTCAATGGGAATTTTTTGACATTTTCTCCTGGTCAAAACATGTGCATCTAAAGTTAGAAAAAAAACGGTGCATTGGCAATCATACAAAAAAAAAACCTCAAAACAAAATAAATGTTTATAGCTTTCGTGATATCCTAGTGGTGCAACTCATCATCTTCCTTCATGTAACACAAAAGGTAGATACAATAGAAGTCCATTCCAAGTTGGATACGTGCAGGTAGGGCATTCCTCGACCCTGTTTAGGTTGTAAACCCTACAGTTGTCCATCCAATTTGTCTATTCTAACGTATGTATGGTCCTCTACATTAAAAAGGATTACTGTGCTCTATGTGATGTCTGAGATTTTAACAGTATTTAATTATTTCTTTTTCCATGGCAGAAAGGATTGGGCTCCTACTGTTTCATCCTTTTTGCAGCCATCTGCCTCGCTACCTTTATTTTCATTTATATTTTCGTCCCGGAAACCAAAGGCAAATCTTTCCTGGAGATTAGCCAGATAATGGCAAAAAGGAACGGACTTGAAGAGAGAGCAGACTCAAAGGAATTTTTAGACGTTCACCCACTGTCCAGTGGAATTCCATTGGAAAAGAAAGACTTTAGTTCTGGAGAAATTCCGTTGGAAAAAATGGATAACTTGACCAATGAAACAACTTTGGGAAAAAAGGACAGCGCTACACCATTATAATTAACGTGTTGCCGTATTAACCTCATCACTGACATACAAGGCACAGGGAGCTACTGCTATGAAGGATGACATCGATGGCAGAAACGTTGCCCCTAGCAGCCTGTGTTCTACAAGTTACCAGCTACGGTTGCATAGATTCAATGTGACGTCAAGGTGTTTAATCGTCTGTTGTACTGTTTACTTTTAGTTAGAAATATGTGTAAAATGTTACAGTTACTTCAAAATTATTCCACGTGCATCACGCATTGCGACAAAGAATTGATTAGTTTCGAAAACGTATTTTACAGTGATTTTGCTCCGAGAACATTTGGACCTTAACATTAAGGATGAATGTGTTCTACTATGTATATAAAGCAACAACTGGTCCTCAATAAATCTATCTATATGTATGGAGCTCAGTTGTGATAATTTTTTAACACTCCCTATCCACTCTTAAAGGACCACTAAAGTCACCCAGACCACTTCATCTCGTTAAAGTTGTCTGGGTGCAGTGGTCCTGTCATATTAACCCTGTAATGTAAAACATTGCTGCTCAGTAAAAACTGCAATAATTACATTGTGGGGTTAAACACACCTGTGGTGGTGATCTTCTTGATAGCCACTAGAGTTGGCTCCTCCACCAGCACAGAGGGAAACTCGGCCCTGGAATCCTTTGTTCCTGATATTGGCATTTGATTGGAGGAGAGAGGTGTTTGGCCGGACATGCCTAGTTCCAATCCAATGCTTCACTAAAAGAACCAGTGGATTGGAGGAGATCTTTGGTGATGTCGGATTTGATGCCGACATGGCTGTAGGAAGAGCTGGGGGCTTCAGTGGATTGGTTCCCAGCCTTAGGAACTAGGTGAGTAAGCTTTATTTTAATTCATTTTACAGAGCAGTAGAAGATGGACAGTATAACTTCTCTAAGGGAGAAATAATTCTTACTTTCCAAACTATAGGATCCCTTTTAAAAGTAAGATGTAATCTAGGCAGAATATAAATCCCTTTATGTGACGTGCAAAGTGCTCATTTGATAAACAGGAAGACAAAGGAACTTTGGGAACATTTAAAAAAAACAACACATTTTCAAATAGTCTAAAGTAGATTCGGGAACAGAAAGCTTGTTTTTAATAATGTAATTTTATTTTAACAGGACATGCAACTTGTCTTTTCCTTTCTTTTAATTATCACTCTTGTGTGTGTGTCATATTGTATAAACACTATGAAAATTTTCACTTTAAAATATTAATAGGAATACATTTTAACAAAAATAAATAATTATAGGATGGTTTGACATGCAAATTATATACTGTTTTATTAGGTTTTAGACTCGTGTGGTTTCATAGCTATTTGAAGCAATATTTTTGCGATGAGATCCTACAAGAGATTCACAGTCAGATTGATTTTACGTTTAAAATCATTTATTGGTCAGGATATATGGATGTGAAAATCCAAAGGAACCAAAGTGTAGATATATAATCAAAAATGCAATGGTACAACACACAGTATTTCCAGTTTACATACACATAGGAGGTTTTTACCATTTTTAAAAATATCTGTTAAAACAATCTGTTTTCAAACTATTTGTAATATTGATCATGATTTTTGACATTGTCTAATGCCATTCGAAGTGCATAGAGCTGAGGTATAAATAATTACAATTACATTACCAACGCTGACAAATGTCAACATATCTGCTAATGTTCAATAGTGATAGAACCATATAGTGGATGGTCATAAACATCATAGCAGTAGAATTTCAGATTTAAGGCCAAAGTAGTCGAACTGGAAGCATAGTTGACATGGAGAATTTTTTCAGTTTGTCTATTTTGGCCTTAAATTTAGAATTTACTTAGAACTCATAAACATTCTCACGTTAGTGAATAACCCTTTGAGTGTCCTAAAGGGGTTAAGGCACAGATGGGCAACATCTAGTCTAGTGGTTGCCAACACTTTCAAAGCACCAACAGTCAAGTAATTAGATATATCCCAGTCAGGGGCGTATTAGCCGCGAGGCAAACAAGGCATTTGCCTTGGGCAGCATTTTCCAGGGGGCGGCAAAAAACGCCGCCCCCAAATGCCCAGGGCAAATACCTTGTTAGCCTGGTGGCTAACTGACATGCCGGGCGGGCGGCACTGGGCGGGCGGCGCTGGGCATGCGGGCGGCGCTGGGCGTGCGGGCGGCTGGCGAGGGAGCTCTTCCTCTGAGCTGACTGCTCAGCTCCCTCGCGCGCCGCAGAGTGAGGCTGGGAGCCGGAAGATGACGTCAGCTCAGAGGAAGAGCTCCCTCGCAAGCCGTCTGCACAGCAGCCAGCGCCGCCCAGCCCGACCGGCAGCCACTGGACCACCAGGGAGAGAGAGAGAGACCCCCCCCAGCACTATCAAAAAAGGTAAGGAGGCTTTGGGGGGGGAATTAAAAAAAAGTTAATGCGTGTGTGTGTGTGTTTGTGTCTGTGTGTGTGTCTGACTGTGTGTGTGTTTGTGTCTGACTGTGTGTGTGTTTGTGTCTGACTGTGTGTTTGTGTCTGACTGTGTGTGACTGTGTGTTTGTGTGTGACTGTGTGTTTGTGTCTGACTGTGTGTTTGTTTGTGTGTGTGTGTGTTTGTGTCTGACTGTGTGTGTCTGACTGTGTGTATGTTTGTGTGTGTGTGTGTTTGTGTCTGACTGTGTGTGTGTTTGTATCTGACTGTGTGTGTGTTTGTGTCTGACTGTGTGTGACTGTGTGTGTGTGTGTGTATTTAGAAGGTGGGGTGGGGGGGAAGGGTTGGGTGGGGGTGGCGCGGGGGGAGGCGGGCGCCTGAGTTTTGTCCTGCCTAGGGCAGCACAAAACCAGGATACACCACTGATCCCAGTTCTGTTCTTGAAGGGCTACTGTCAATTGACCATTGGTGTATCTTGAAGACTAGGTTGGGAATCACTATTCTAGTTTTCGAAGAATTCTAGAACTAAGAACTCCATGTTTTCTGTTATGGTAACAAGCTGTAGAGTTGTGAGTTGCTCTGTCCATGGTAAAGGATATGTTTTGTGGTATCTCTATGTCAAGGAAAATTGCAGATTTCACTCCATAGATGTCACTAAGATAAGAAAAGTCTGTCATCACTACAGTCCTGAAGCTAAACAATTGAGAACCACGCATTTTGTGGAATGGTTAAAACTGTCAACTAGCCTGGACAATTGACCTCCCAATCAGCAAAAATTGATTAGAGACTAATATAATTATACCTTGCAGGGTTCCCACATAGAGTGAGATATTGTATAGACAATTCTGATTGGATTATTTATTTTATGCTGCAGATTAAGTTAGAGAAGGTATTTTGGTGACACATACAGTGATTGCACATGACAATAATAGGGAAAAAAGAAATAAATTGTAAATCAAAAGTACGAAGGATCAGGTCACCAGCAGCTCTTATCAGGTTCAAGCATGACTCCTCCAGACACTATAACAGGTGTCTCTCCCCAAGCTACAATATCCCCCCTATGATTTATCGTTGGACATTGGGTCAGTGATTTGATCTCTTCGGCGCTAAGTAGATGGCTCCATAGATTGACATGGCTCATCCATCCAACAAATCCATTGGAGAACAATCCCAAGAGATCGGCACGGTCTTTGCCAAGAAGGATCACACCTCCAGCTTTGATTCCGTGTCCACGTTGGAAGGTCTTTTGTTTTCCAGGCAGGCCACTTACCCACAGATGAGTAGCTCCAGTACTGGAGTCCCATTGCACACAGTAATGAACCCAGTCTTCCGAGGTGTGGTGCAGAGAGAAATCCTGGAATTTTCCTCCCACCCACAACCCTATATCACCCCCTACACTCAAAACAAGTTCATTGTCACTATAATCTGTAGAGTAGGAGAACACTACCTGGTTACCAGCATTTTTAGTTTTCACCCAGGCACAGAGGGTAAATTTGGTCAGTTGCATGGATTTTAAGTGACGTACTTCTACATGGGCAGCTGGATGATCCTTGGTGAAAGCATAAGATGGGTAGCTTGGGAGCACTGAGGGGCCTGTTGGACACAGAGAAGTAGTAAATACAAGACGTACCATCACAAAAGAAAAGAAGAAAAAAATGATATATATATATATATATATATAAAAAAAAGAAAGATATATTAGGGTTTAGTATGAATGGAACATCTACAGCTTGAGGAGTAATAATATCAAAGTTTGAAAAATGTTGCACATGATTCAAGGGTGTATACAAAGTAAGCATAGTTATAAGATCACTAGAAGTAGCCACAAGGAGGACAGCAAAGGGACAATGACAAACACAGCATGAACACCAAAAAGCAGAGCAAGACAAAAATGGTACACATGGTGTATATAGAGCCATAAATAAAAAAAATTACCATGAAAAGCAATTTAGTCTTTATGTTCAGAACAGTCTATGCTCTTTGACGAGCCAGTACCAAACTAAGGAACATCCTGCAATTGTGGGTCCAGCTCATCTCCAGATCTCTGGGACATTGAGGGGAATCTCTGATTATTTAGGCTCTCCAATTCATGTTGCGTTAACTCTTTGGTAATTGCATATCCAAATTGAATATACCAATCAATCTTTGGAGCCATTCAACCTACTGTTTGTTGCCTTTGTAAGATGAGGCAAGTAAACATTTCAGACTCACTTGCCCACAAAAATTTTCCCAAAAGAGATATAACATAGACTATCCACTATGACAGTCATAGGCAACCTTCGGCACTCCAGATGTTTTGGACTACACCCCCCATGATGCTTTGCCAGCATTATGGGTGTAAGAGCATTATGGGGGATGTAGTCCACAACATCTGGAGTGCCGAAGGTTGCCTATCCCTGCACTATGACATCTTTTAAGAATGAAAAGTGACTTTGATTAAAACACAGATCATTTTGGCATATGTATGACCTCATATATCAAAAGTTAAGGTAGCAGATACATTTAAAAAACAAAAAGCAAACAAAAAAACCTGTGTTTTATTACCTGCTAATTTTGTATTCCCACTTTCCACCCGCTTCCTCATTTCTATGATATCAATCTCAATTTGACTCAGTTTGTCAGTAAGTTGTGTCTGACACTTATCTGAAAAGAGACAAAATTATTTTATTATAACATTTAACACCATGTGATTGAATCATTAAATCATTAAATATTTGCTTGTGATTACTTGACAGCCAAGTCGCCAGGTAGAGGTCAGTACAACTCTGTTGGCAATTTTTCGAACATTGGCATTAATTTAATCGTGTTAGGTCCCACTCCTCCCGTTAGGCTCTGCCCCCTTCACAACTGGCAAAACTGGAAGGCGAAAGTTTCAAGCTGAGAAGCCGTTTGAGGACAACAGCCTAGCTCTGACGTAATGTTTCTGCTTTGATATTTAAGGGACACTCGATGCACCATAACTTGTAGTAGGAGTCCCTTGGAGCTGTCTTAGGCTAACCTGTCAAACCGTTTACAAATAGTTTGTCATTTATTTCGCTTTGTCCAGCATTCGTAGACTTTCTGTCCTCCACAACAATGCTGAACCTGTTGTTCATACTTTACGTTAGCATAACAAGCTTTCCAACTTTGGACATTATCCCCTGCACGAGAGCTTACTCGGTCCATCCTTGTGTCTAATGTTTTCGCACTATTTGCATCTGATTCACCTGATACAGGATACAAAACCACCACTTTGCTCACTGGTCATATATCAAGAGAAAAGCACATTTTCCGAATATTTTCCAAATAAAATACTTAAAAAACAAAACAAAAACACACTCAGGTCAAGCACTCTTCACCTGCATTCAGCTGAGTGAGTTGCTCCTCGTGTTTCCAAACAGCTGACACAACAAATTTCAGAGCTCTTTATTGAAAACTACGTACATGTTTCTTATAGAGAGGCTTTAATTCTTAAATGTACTTAAATATATACAGTATAATAAATGTCTTTATTTTATAGGATGTATTGACATTTTCCAGTCATTAATTAGCCGTATCCTTGTCACACCTAGATGAGGCAAGAGTAATTTTGAGTCAGATAGCAACATTTGTTAATTTTTATCATCTAGCACACAAACCAGGTGTAATATAGCATTTAGTAACTCCCACTAATCTCGATGGGAGATTTTAAAAGTGTCGAAAACTGATCATTACAAATCGTTACACGTCATTTTGTAAAGCATGGTAATCTCTAATGACGTTCACAGCTGTAGCAGCAGTAATTCACGAGTTGCTAAGTGACTGCGACTAGTATGAAATCAACCCAATATCAGTAAACTATGCAATAATCATTTTTTCCCTTGTTTTTTTATTTAATATATTGGAGCTGGTGTGTATTATAGTTATTGCTGCCTCCCAGGAGTTTGACTACAGAACTTAATTTTGTATGTTTGTGTTTATTACACAGCCACGTCAGTGCTGCCGGCCCCCACCCCATGTGTTCACTATTAATGGTTAATAAGTGTGAAGGGGTGTAGAAAAATTCCCCTCTCTATCTCATTCGAGATTTTACCATTCGGCTTAAAATAGCAAGGTGAATTGATAGCGTAGACCAGGCTTCCCCAAACTCCGGCCCTCCAGATGTTGCTGAACTACAACTCCCATAATTCTCAGCCGATCTATTTCATTCATAGAATCATGGGAGTTGTAGTTCAGCAACATCTGGAGGGCCTGAGTTTGGGGAAGCCTGGCGTAGACTAACTGAGAGCTTTTGCCTTGACGTGGCAGGTGAGCTTACACTTAAATGGCCATTGTAGTCATACTAAAAAGCGTTCAGTTATTTAAATATGCCTATGGATTTGGAATAGTGCGCAAGTAACTTTTTTCTTTGGTCTTTAATAATTATTTTTTATTTTGCTTAGTATTGGAAGTCTTTTTAAAGTTAGAGCTGACCTTACATGATTTCAATTGTTTCCTATCTTTTTTTCTGTATACCTTAATCTTACTTTCCTGCTGTTAATCCACCCTTTAATGACAATGACTTTGTGTCTAGCCCTATTCATACGAGCTAATGCTAACTTCCATATGGTGAGTGGCTACACCTATGTTAGTACGCATAGATTATTTTATGATATCTGGTTTTTGTAACAGCTGTGCTCCCAAAGACCATGCTTCCATTCTCTTCTACATTGATATATGTTGCTATCTTGAGCTTGGGCTCTCACCTTTGGACAGTTGTGGCTTGAAGGACGCTTGCACAACGCGGTTATTCAGCGGCTGAGCTTGGCGGTAGTCATTACGAATTGTATTGTTCTCCCAGTCCAATAAACTGTTCTCCAATAGTTTTATCTGTAAAAAAATATTGATTTTTAATAGCTTTTCCTTATTTATGAAACACAAATTATTATTATTGTGCTATGATTGGCAAATAATAAAATAATGCATAATTTTATGATAAAGAAATATCCTGGGTTTTGTTACTTAAAGTTAAAGGGATAGCATAGTGCTAGGAATACAAATCTGAAGGCATGGTATAAGTAATTACCTGTACATGAGAAAGAAGGACTGGGGTATCAAAGATCGTCCATAGCACATTCTCTGTGCAGGGGGGAGTAGTAAGAGATCCAGCGTAACGATAGAAATGATCCAAGTTATCAGGTAACATGGCATTTACATCAATAGAATGCAATTCAGTCTTCTGTCCTGTGTTGCAAACAGAATAAAAATAAAGATATATGTATATTTATCATGTGAAAAGAATGTCTAATTTAATGTCAATTTTGGTAGCACTTTTTACATATAATTAAATTTAGATATTGGATCTTCTATCCACGTTATTTTTTTTATTGTTTTAGAAGTTAGCAAAGTTATCATTTTTGGTGTCATAAAAAACCCAAATAGTAATGTCATTGGCTGATGTTTATTAGACAGCAACAATGTCGCAGTTGATGTTCTACATTACTTTTATCACAGATAATATGAATTCGAATAGTATCGAGTTGACTACTCTTTCTGCATGTCAAGCACTATGGCATTTGTTTACGAAGAGTTAAAGTATCTTCACGTGAAGAACCCTTCCATAGTTTGTTATCAGCAGATAATGTTTTCAAATTTTTTTATTAAATGGCCACATACCATGCGTTAAAACAATAACTAACCTTCTAAAGAACGTGCAGTGCCAGGCAGCTCATCTTAAAAATGTACCGATGTTCCCAAGATTACTGTGAGTTACTGACATCGACAAAGACTTTCTATAACTCTCGATTCAAATACTCTGCCTCACAAAGAATACAGGATCTATAGATGCCGAAAGTGCCAAACCCCTTCCTCTCGCCCCAAATAAAAAAAAACAGCAAATTCACAGATTCATATTTATAATCTCTTGAACTTTTCAGATTTGTGTGTTAATTCTTGTTTTTTAGGCTTCCCATTACTGGTTATATACAATTCCTCCTAGTGTATACAAAACAGGGGAATATCCAATTCTTTGACCCCCATTCCATAAACTCCTTTAAGGAATTAAAGGGGAAAAGTCACTTACAAGGATGTTTCATATTATGTTTACGTATCCCCTATATTTAACGAATATGTATTTGTGAGGAGTGAATAATAACACCTCTTTATCATGTAACAGAACACCTCCATTTTACTTCATGTTAGCTCTCAGTAATTGTTATAAGCTCTGTCCTTTGAAACTGGCATTCAACGTAGAGGAAGCACACAGCAAACGAGAAATTAGACAACTGTTCTATTTCTTCTCTTCATATGCAATGTTTCCCCTGACTTTAATCAATCTTTATTGGATTATGATGTAATTTGCTAAATCTTTCATATAAATTTAAAATAAAATTGAGCATTTGAAGAAAATAAGGTCTATATAACTTCTAAGTGACAATTTTTATGTTTTAAAAAACAATGTACATTCCAGAGAAATGCCAGTTCTCCTTTAAAAATATAATCTTAATTTTTGCAAGTAGAATAAATAGCTTTGCATGCCGTGGAGCATTGAATGTGTACCTGCGAGTTTGATCTTGCCCAGCCTGGAAATAAATTTGCTGTAATATGTATTTTCAAAATTTCCATCCTGTAAAACATAGATATTAGTTATTACGTCACGAAAATCACAAAAGCTCTAAATCAGTGGTAGTCAATCAACCTTTTTCTACCTACCGCCCACTAATGCATCTTTCTTAATGGAAAAATGTCCTTACCGCCCACCAGTTTTCGTGCAAGTGCGGAATATTTTTTAGAAAGGAGGGTGTTTTTAAAAATAAATAAATGTACGTACATTTATCTTTTTATTTCTACTTGATGCATGTTTATAATGTTTTTAACTTTATAAAGTTTAATGAGAAAACAATAAAGTAAATTGAAATTACCTTTACTAGTGATTAATGAGATCCTTGAGGTTGATGCTGCGAGACTAATTATTTGATATCTGGTTCAATTTTCGTAAGGAACAAACAAAGGTCTCCTCTTTCGGTGATATTCAGACGACTTCTCTGTTTGCGCATAATATTATTTCTCATCTGTGCGTCAGCTCCCCTCCTCTTCCTCCTCAATTCCCCTCCCCACCTTTTTTCCCCTTCTTTCTATTTTTTTAACCTTCCTTGTAGCAATGCCCAGTAGGAAGGCTGAGCTAGGTAGCCCACTTACTATTACTTACTATAGCCCACTATAACAGACAGGCACACATACATACAGACACACACACACAAGACACACAAACAGACAGGCACACACATACATACAAACAGACAGGCACACACATACATACAGACACAGGCAGGCACACATACACACACACACAGACAAAAGACACATACATACAGACAAACAGACAGGCACACATACAGACACACACATACAAAGACACATACATACAAACAGACAGGCACACACATACATACAGACACACAGACAAGGAAAACACATACACACACACACACAAAAGACACATACATACAAACAGACATGCACACATACAGACACACACAGACATGCACACATAAATACACATAAGACATACATACAAAAACAAGACACACATATATACAAAGACACATACATAAGACACATATACATACAAAGACAAGACACACACAACACATACAAAGACAAGACACACATACATACACACATACAGACAGACACAAACACACACAAGACATACATACAAAGACACACACACATACAGACACAAGACACACACACATACAGACACAAGACACATATACATACAAAGACAAGACACACACAACACATACAAAGACAAGACACACATACATAAACACATACATACAGACACACACACACACACACAAGACATACATACAAAGACACATACAAAAGACACACATACATACAGCATGGGCCACCCGATGGACCCGGTGGACGGCGGCCCCGGCGGTTTGCCTCGCGGGCCGGGCTGCAAAATGGTGACGGCGGTACCCGGTCGCAAGGGTAACACCGGTTCGCACCCGCCCACCCAGTCTCTCAAAACGAGGAAATCCCTACCGCCCACCTGGAATCCTGAAATGCCCACTAGTGGGTGTAGAGTCCAAGTTGATGACCCATGCTCTAAACTGATATCTGTTACCAGTAATTATACTACTAAACGGAATGACACTGCAGATATATTCTGTACATTTTCTGGCTGATACAAAGTGTAAATACACAAATAGGTCAATCCAACTATAAGGGGACAAAAAATAACATAGTGCAACTCCGTATGCAACTTCAACAGTATGTATATTTGCCAAATGGATCACTCACACTTTGACTCAATAGATTAGGCGTATCAAAAATCCATGTAGCTCTCAGGCAATGTTCTTGCTTCAATATATGGACTTCCAGGTCTCAATGATACAAAAAGATAGAAATGCATCCAAAATAAAAAATGGAGAAATGTGTACAAAGTAAAAAATCAGCTTAAAATATCAAAAACTGTCTGTCCTGATATTTTTGATATTTTATGCTGATTGATTCCAACTTATGTGTAAGTAATAAATACATTTTTTACTTTGTACACATTTCTCCATTTTTTATTTTGGATGCATTTCTATCTTTTTGTATCAATCAGCACTCCCTTGTGACAGCCTATCAGTTTGAATGGGAGCTCCTTCTCCTATTGGTCATCACAGACTTCCAGGCAGCCAGCGGGACTCTGCAGACGTGAAGTCGACTCACAGCTCCAGGGGTCCCGCTGGGGCTCGCTTCTCGCTCAGGTGGATGCCTCTACCTAGGTAGCACCGGAGGGAGCGATCTCTGGGCAGCTACAAGCCTAGCCTAGCAGCTCTCGGGTAGAGGAATAGTGATTTTGGCTCCTTTAGGAGCAGGTAGGGCAATCCCCGACATGAGAAGGGATCTAGGCTCCTGGCCAACATAGCCAGCCCCATTAAAGTGTCCCCACCAACCTCAGAAACCTCACACCAGCACATTTCCCGGCTCCAGTGCGAACACAGGGCAAGGGAAGAGTCTCCTTTCAGGAAAAGAATGCTCCCCCTTGAGTGGCGTTTGCCTATACGAAACGGGTAGTCCTTGTTCAGGAGACGAACAGGTTGCATCCGAACGGTAAACAGGGCATATGATACGAAATATAAGGGGAACAAAGGGAAACACACAATACTAGGGAAAAAACACACACGAACAAGCAAGTGGGCAGGAGTGGGTATGGCACTCAGTGACGGCGCTCCGTCACACATGAATACCCTGCGTTGTCTACTTTTGCAAATGGTATACAACGATGGCGGTAATTTTAATTCCTGGGCTGCCATACCATACTAAAGGCATCATAGGCCCAGCAAACCAATCTGGCAAAGTTCAGTGTGTATAAACTGAAAAGGGGAAAGGCCTGCACTTAATATAAAAGAGGTAAATTATGGTTGAACAGACATATAGGTCAAATTCCAGGTTTTGTTTTGGTTCAGAATTTTTATAATTGCCTCCATCCTTAAGGGGTTAGTAACTCATTAAAGAGATTTCCAGTCAAGAACCCCTAATCTCAGCTTTTTATTCAATGTGCATCTTTCCTATCATTTACATTGGAAATCAAGCTTGTAATGAAGAACATCCTGGCCCCCACCAGAGTAACTTAAGGATGTATGTACCATGGGCTAAAATACATATTTGGTCCCTCTACTTACAAAACACAACATACAGCCCTTTATACATGCAATTAAAAGTAGACTTTAAATGTATTATAGCCAGGGCGGGGTTCAAAATTTCCACTTGCCCACTAGCCACTGGCAAATAAAAATTCAGCTCTGGCAAGTAGAAATTCGTCCCTGGTTAGCTGGCCATTTACCTTCCAGGCTTGCAGAAAGAATATTAACTTTTAGGCTAGGCTGGTAGTCTGCAACTTGAAGTTTGTATCCCTGGTTAAGGCTGAACTGGTTAAAGAACAAGAGTAACTCCTGACGCATATCCAGGACTGCCATTTAGTCATAACTGTATCTCTCTCAGCACTATAGAAAATGGACCTCAAACTAGCTTTCTGTGTGTTTTCTGTGAAATTTAAATCCGGTCCCATTACTGTGCCACATTCCCACTCAAAGTCAAGTTCACTTACTGTGTAAAGGAAAGCGAGTACAGCTAGTCCATTTGGTTTGTCTTTAGCCTCATCAAAACTCTTGTATAAATCCGAGTTATAATGGACAACGTGCAACTGTAAAGACAAAGATGAATGAGTTACAAATAGGGAGGTTTATTAACGATATTCAGAAAAATGATGAGTAGCAATATTTACCTCTGCAATGTACCTCATTCCATCAATGGTGTGTTCAGAACCACTTGTTTCCAGGTCAAGACCCCCCCAATGCAAATGCATTTGAACCGCAGTGTAAGTGTTAGAAAACCCTTTGTTGATTTTCATTGTGGATGGAAGATCTATTTGCACTGGATACGATAACACAAAATGTAAAATTTAACATTCAAGAAGCAATTATTCTATTTCAGTATAAGGCATACATGTTAAGTTTCATAGCATGTTTTTATAGCATCGTTTTACTCTCCACAGTAGTTACAAATGTATTTTACTAAACCGTTACTTATAATCTGGAGGTTCCATTTTGGTATCTACAACTGAATAGAGCAATGCTCCAGTACCATTTCTTCTCTAGTTTAAGAGGATTGGAACAATTATCACTGATTTCAAATTGTGGTCGCTATGATTGCACAACTCCATACTTCTTGTGGCATGGTGGGTTACAGAACCTGACACACTGTAATGTTTAGACAAAGCTTTGTGTACATCCACTTGCCCAGTAACTAGGACATCACTCCTTGCTGATCTTGACTGAGGAACAACAAGGCAGCAGAAGAAGCCAACTCGATGAAGTAAAGCAGAGATTACTCTGCTCCCTCTAACTAGTCAAATACCCAGAGTCACCCGACCAATTGGGTTCTGCGGCCTAATCTCAGACAACCTCTAAGGAACTCTGCTGAGTTGCTGGGTATTTAAAATACAAATAGAGTATTATTTTATATTCCCTACACTGCAATCTAGAGGCTAGACCACTAAACCTTATTTCAAAACAACCTTTGGTGAGCTGGTTCTTGTAAAGGCAGTAAAGTGTCAAGAAACACTTTTGATAAAGTCTATCCAAAGAGAAACTCATTAAGTGTACCATTATACTGTTTTATATCATTATTTTACCTTTTATCTTTGATTTTATTGTTTTTTTAACAATAAAAATACTGTTCTATTGGGCCTGATTGTCTGCTGCTTATCCTGAGCTATATATCCTTGGTGCGGAAAATACCACCCAAGCCAACTGGATTGAGCAAACCTCATTTTGTTCTGAAGCACGTGAATAGGTTTTTATTATTTTTACTGTGCTTTACACTCTATTTTATGGTACGCACTATTGTGGCTTTTTATTTCTCTTTTATATATACATGGAGGAATATCCATATCACCTATATCCTAGAGTGGGGGTCATACCACTTCACGCATTACTTCTAGAGCTAATACTTAGGCTCCATAATATGATACCCATCAATGTAAGGAAAACTTGAAGAATCTGTACCTCAATATATTCATAGACGGGGAGCATTCCAGAGTCAGAGCTCAGAGCTGTATTTAAGCTCCCTGAAAGTGTGAGTGTTTTTATTCTGCCTTATTTTATCAAGACGTTCTTAACTTACTACACTATCAGTCCTTTTTGGGTTTTTTACCTTATTTATCATTGACTATGTTCCCTAAAAAACACTTTAGGCGCTACACCTTCTTTTCCTGTTTTAGTTAAAAAATATATATAAATATTAAACTAATTGACATTCTACAGTTACCCGAATGCCCGTTGTTTGTCATGGTGAAATTGCCCCGTAAGGGTCCATCAAAGCCTGAAAGTTCCAGGTGTGTTAGGCCTGGATTAAATTCCACTTTCTTTCTCTGAATATCTATTGGTGACTGCTGTGTTGAGGCACAGAGGGGATATTTTTTCGGCCAGTGAGCTTCATCCAAATCTCCTGTAAGTTAGAGAAATAATTACATATTTATAATATAAGGATTCAAACATGGACTCAGGAAATGTAAAAAAAAAATTTTCATGCTTACTTATGGTGTAACTACTTGGGATAATTGCAAATAAGCTAAGCTAAGACCACAAAATATTGGTCTTAAAAAGCCCTTTGCAAAAATTACTATCTAGCAAATCCAAAATTGCAGTTAGTGTTTCGGTTCTTTTAGGACCTAATCAAATATCCTCATTTGCACTCAAACAAGAGTTAGAGTTAAAATTGTTTGCAAGAAAATGCAAAATGGGTCTTTATTTTTCAACATAATCCAATATAAAATGGATTCTCTATAATCCTAAAATTCTGCTCATTAATCATGAAACGATGAGGCTAATAAAAACACAGAAGTGCTAAATAAAATTATAAGTCTTTAAAACGATAAACATGAGGAATTCATCAATAGTTGTAGATACCTTGATACAGTAACATTTATCAATGGACTAAAGAATGGGTCTTACAGATTATGGTGATATTATACAGCAATGTAAAGGCAATTTGCTTTCAAAAGGTACAAACCATTTTTTGGCTTGCTTTCTGATAGTAGGTTCAGAAGTCACTTTTTAACCCCATCTCACACAACTCTGTGGATACGTTTACTTATATTCATAGTGCAAACTAAAAGTTATTTTAAAATCAAATGTAGCGCCCCTCCTCCCCCAAAATGCCCCAAATAACATTCTGTTGCGTGTTCTATGCCCATATTAACCTTGCAAAGTACAAACTACTCTACAATGACACCATTCTGTCCTTTGGGATGCCTCTGTACTTTCTGACCACCAAAAATGTATTTGTGTGTCAGAAAGGGCTTCAATCTACTAGCTGGGGTGACTGGAGGACACTTCAAGGATTTGTTAAAAGCTGCAGTAAACCTGTATAGTAAAGATACTTGCTGTAACTGTACTTACTGTTTGTGATACATTTTTAACATACTGGTGGTTTGTTTAAAAATCTACATTTCTCAATAAAATTATATCAAGGTGCATATATCTATTAGCTATCTATTATATTTTATTTAGCTGTTTTTTTCCCTACTTCCTGTTTGTGAAAAGAAAAGTTTTTCTGCTAAAAGGCTAATATTTCAGACCCGCTCCAGAATATTGCAATATAAGGAATAAATGGAAAAACTTCAAATGATGTATATTTATACAATTACATTTCTATTCTTGGACTGCACTCACATGTGTTGATGGGGGCAAGGTTGGGACCTGAAGCCAGGAATGTGTAGCTCTTTAGCACTCTACAGTTGGTGGAGGGGCAGAATGATACTAGTGTTTTTTTATTTCTCAATTGAAATCAGACAATGTCTTGTCAGGCTGCCTTTAAAAAAACAACAATGCTCCACAACAGTGATGTATTTACCACAAGGTTAACAAGGCATTTGCCTTGGGCAGAACTTTCAGGGAGCGGAAAAAAACGCCGTCACCAAGCCCCTGGCAGGTGCCTTGTTAGCCTTGTGTCCTGGGGATCCAAGAGCTGGCCATCTTAGGTCCCCCCAAGGCATTCAGCTGTTCACCTTCTAGCTAGGCAGTGAGGGAGCAGTGTCCTCTGAGCTCTTCTTGTTTTGCTCCCTTGTGCTCCCTGCAGAGTCAAAAAGTGGTGGACGAGGGAGCAGAGCAAGATTACAGCACCCTCGCCCCCTTGCCTGACTCCCCTATCCCCAAGGAGCCCAGCAAGAAGGCCAGCAGAGAGGCAAGGAGAACAACCAAGAAGACAGCAGGAAGGCAAGGAGCCCAGCCAGAAGACCAGGAGTCCAGGAAGGGGGCCAGGAGCAGCCTAGATCCGGCTAGCAGCCCATCCAGAAGCCACAATGGACCCCAGGGACAGGATCCAATCCAGCACTCCCAAAGGAAGGGAGGCTGTGTGGATTTGAAAAAAAATATGAATATAATAATTGGTGATTGTATGAGAAAATGTGTGTGTGTGTGAGTGTTTGTCAGTGAGTGTGTGTGTGTCTGTCAGTCTGTGTGTGTCTGTCAGTGTGTGTGTGTGTGTGTGTGTCTGTCTGTCAGGGAATGTGTGTGTGTGTCAGTGAGTGTGTGTGTGACTGTCATTGGGTGTGTGTATGTCTGTCAATGAGTAGGTGTGAGTCTGTGAGTGAAACATAGAAACAGATAAGAACCATTCGGCCCATCTAGTCTGCCGAGTGAGCAGGTCTATTACTGTTAGTTAGTGTGTGTGTGGCTGTTTGTGTGTATGTGTGACAAATTAGTGATAATATGTGTCAGTGTGTGTGTGTCAGTGAGTGTATGTCAGTGTTTATGTATCTGAGAGTGTGTGCCTGCCAGTGTGTGTCTGTCAGTAAAGGTGTGTGTTGGTTAAACAGTCCGTGTGCTAATGGCTGTGTATCTGTCAGTGAGTGTATGTCAGTGTATGTGTATCTGTCAGTGAGTGTATGTCAGTGCACGTATCAATAATGGCGTGTGTCTGTCAGTCAAAAAACAGCGTGTCGGTTTTGAGATGCGGCCTTGACAGGAACTGGTGGGGCAAATTTAGATTAGAGGGGTGCCCGAGGTTAGTCATGCCTAAGGCAGCATAAATTAAAAATACACCACTGCTCCCTTCAGATGATTGTTGGTGGGTGTTGGGGAATAGAACATTACCGCAACCCCCTCTGTTAGTTAGGTAGAGTGGGGTGGGGGGGTCACATTGAATACCTGACTGTGTGGCATGTGCTTGCTCTTGCCTATCGTTCAATAAAATCCACTTTGTTCATGGGTAGAGAAGAGAGGATATAACACAGAAGGTGGGGATTAATCATAATATCCTCAGCTCTCTGTTAGTATTGGGGACATTGAGTTTTTCTTTGGACTCAGGTTCAAGGTGTTTCTAGAACCTAGAATGTCCTCTGTCTGTACTATTTTGATATATTTTATTCTTTGTTAGCATACTAGCTAGGCATTCCATGTTTCAGTAAATGTTATGCTATTATTTTATGAAAATAACTGGTTTGTGAATGGGATTATATGCAGCAGTGCATTACTCACTAAACAAAACCGTACATCATATAATTTTTCTAAAGAATTTGCTTCCTTATAAAATCCAGTGATGGGCTGATTTAAATGCCATTTTGACAGGTTTACTCTAATATAACAATAAAGGGTGTGAATAAGAAACTACTTTTGGTCTGCCCGAAAAATTCTAAACACGTTTCCTGACTTTACTGTATTTCTCTAATTATCATTGAGTTATTTAATTTAATTATGCCTACATTGTGTACATGCATTTAATAAGACAGTTTTATTTGTTTAACTTAGACAATGTAATATCATATAATAAAGAAATATGACGTCATTTGATAGATTGTTTTTCTAATTAATAAATCTATAGTTTTAGCATTGTTATTTGTGGAGATGAATTAAGCATTTTTAACCAAGCTATAATTTGCGATCACAATTTAAATTTAGGATGATTTTCATTCTGTGAACAAACTTCCAAGTTAATTAATGGACAAGACTGTTTTAATGTAAGGCAAAAGAGGCTGCCAAGATCGTGACAGAAGGGTCCTCTTGGTGATATGGTAAGATGGGTACAGTCACAGCATGCGAGTTATTTATCCTGGATTTTAAATACACATTGCTTACTCAAATTTTCTTACTAACTAAGGGCTTAATGCCTCCAGTAGTTGACAAAATATATTTGGGAAAGATGTGGAAATAGCAAAACAAACATGGAAACTGATACTTTGGACATTGCCCCCCAGCTACCCTTTTCAGTGTTTGATGTTCCTTTGACTTTTTTTTGTGCTGCACATTTATTTTATTCTGTATACATTTTGTATAAGTTTATATATTTAGTATATTATACAGTGTCCTTCCTTTTAATCAAAACTTACTGTGGTAGCTAATGCAGAGCACACAAGTTAACAGGGCTGTCTATGTTGTATAACCACTAGTCGTGGTAGTGGTTATGGTGCAAGTAGGCTATGAGCACTGTCCTAATCACCCTATCTAATCTGTTTTGAATGCATCTTATATTTTTTTTAATGGTTACTCAAATCACCATGAACAATTTAACCACATTAATTTTAAACTTAAGTGGTTATGGTGCCTGGAGCATTTTGTTCTGAGACGCTGCACATACAGAGATTAAACCCTTAGCATCTTAACATGGACCTACTGCAGAGGTAAGTGTGACCTACCACTACTGTACCACTCCAAACAGTAAGTGCTTCAATAAAATTTAGTCTTCAATTCAATATTTTTTGGATAAACTTTTCAAACTATATAATATTTTGGGATGAACTTTTAAAGTGATTGAAAATTTTGAAAAAATGTTTAAATTTTTTTTTTAATTTTTAATTTTGATATGATATATTTTCTGATCATTTGAAAAAAACAACAACATAATAATAACAATTTAAAAGTTTATCCAAAAATATTAAATTGTGGCAAATGATGAACGGACACTTAAGAAGAAGAGACATTGTAGCATTCAATAAGAAAGAAAAAAAAAACACAATTTGTGCAATTTTGTTCTATCTACAATTGCACTTAAACTCCTGTTTGTAAAACTAAATAAAAGCAGGTATCTATGAGTAATTCCCAAAGGAGGCCAGGTACCTCTTTAAACACTTCATTACCAAGCAATGTGTTTTATCAATAACATTCCCAATTAAAAGAAATTCTGGTTACCATTTAAGTAGAATCACTCTGAACTTTCCTCACATACTTGCATGTTAAGGATGGGTTAATGTTAAAGGCAGTGTGATGACTCAAAAATATTCCATCACAATGCCCTATGACATTCATATCTATATAAAATATAAAAATTAACAAAAGCAACATCGTTAACCTTCTATTTTTGGGCACCTACCTTCTATAGTGCGGGGTTCTCCAAACTCTTGCCTCCCTGATGTTCCTGAACTACATCACCTATGATTCTCTGGCTATCTATTTCATTTAAAGAATCATGGGAGTTGTAGTTCAGCAACATCTGGAGGGCCAGAGTTTTTATAGAACCGTGTTTTAGAGTAATGGAGTCCAAACTGGATTTCTGAAATATTTAGACTACAACAGCTGGAGGGTCAAGCTTGGCTACCCCTGTGTCACCGTTATAGTCCAAAAAGAGCGGGTAGTCCGTTAACCTCCCTTAGAATATATTTTGCAATTTATTTCTGCTACTGTATCTTACCTTGATAGGTCCAATCAACCACATGTGAGTTGGAAAAGCAGAAGGTGAATGATAGCAGATATAGACAGAGATCCAGATGTTTTGCCATGACCGTTTCTCAGTGTGTGTGTGTGTGTGTGCGAGAGAGTGGATCCGTGCTGTGCCCTTTTATCTATAGCTCAGAATGAGTAAATAATAATTTAGTCTGTTTGATGAAATGTGACTCTCCCTCCAGTTAAACACAAGCCTGTACCCCCACCCTTTTCTGTTTTTATCTTGTCACTGAACAAAACAAAGCTCCCTGAACTCTAGAACTCCCTTAAAAGGGATTTATTGATTGGCAACGTAACAGCTTGTCAAAGTTTATCAGTCTAGTTTGAAACTTCTGTAATGTGTTAATCAGTGAAGTAAATAGTGGTTACTACAGTTTCCATGACCTTTTCTACTATAGTCAATTATCCGCAATCTATGCCAGCACAGGTTAAAAAAATATATAGTTGGTCTAATTTTAATCATTGGCATTGATTTTCTCTCTGTTTATACGTTACATTACTGAGAAAGGTAAAGACGTTTAATTGTTTTCACCAATGCACCCAGGAAATGACCTAATATTGTAGGGAAATACTATTCCTCCACTCTTAGGTCAATTGACAGATTGAAAACAGCCAGGGATTAATGTCGAGAACAATATGTCCTTTTAACTCATGTGGTCCTGTGTATCTGAGGACAGCTCATGGCAGGATTCACAAATGGAATAAAGGCACCTGACAGTCTTGTCACTGAGTCAGGGACCGCAACAGAGTTATTTACTAAAGAAAGAATTGTCGGGAATTCAAAGTGAATTAAAATTGAATTTCAAATTTGAGCCCAAAATAGCTGAATTTGAAAGATTCTCCAAGTCAGCTATATGTTTCCAGATCAACTATTTTGGTCTAAGATTCGAAATTCACTTTAAATTTCTGACAATTTTCAGTTTAGTAAATAAGCATCAAAGTTGAAAGGATATATAGGACCAGAGCACTGGCAAACTCCTAGTCCATATAGAACAGAACGAATGCATGCAATTGACCATGATCTTGGACAACCTGCGATCCTCTATGATCATCATCAGTTTTAATCACTAAATTGAGAATTTCTGGGAATTTAAGTGATTTTCAAAATATAGGCTGATATGGATTAATGAGCACCTTTCCCCTTATATCCTGTGTCACACTACACAGTAGATTTAGTAATGTCAGGATGCTCTATTATAACAGCTGGCCTTTGATCCTGATTTGTATCTTCTTCTTGTTTCCCCCCCTGCACTGCATATCCTGATAACACCTTGTTGGGAAGTGTTTGTGTAATCGAGTAACACCTTTTGACCAGCTAATGCCAAATGTGCTTTAAGTTCTTTGAATATGCAATTGACAGGACATGACTGTATTATGTGAAGACAACCCCTTTTTGGATGTGTATAGAATTTTGTTATAAGATCTGTGTTCTCCACATTAAAATTAGGTGTAGTATTCTGCCATACATTTGTGTGAATGAGTACTGCCCTCCGAGCTCGTATTTCTGCTGTGTCCATTCCTTGTCTTCATACCTGAGAGAAAACATTGCTGTCTGCTGAATTTAAACCACAACATAGGCTAAAATAGTCAATTCTGTTTTTCGTTTGGCTATTTTGAATTTAAAAGTAAAAATTCACTTTGAATTCCTAGAAATACTTACTTTAGTGAACAACCCTGAAATTATTGGGTATATTATTTTGTCCATGATATAGGACAGCTTGGACAATTGTTATTATTTTAAACCCATAATTTCCCCTATAGCATTATTATAAAGGTAGAATAAATTAAACATCTCTACTCTTTGGGTACCCTTTAATTTCACTGGTGGTCCTATGGACACCTAATACTAATACTGTACTCATCCTACTAGGGACAAGGGCTACAGGAATACTGATTTTCTAACATGTATATAGATCATTTGGTCTCATCTGCAAAAAATGATACATTGTAGATATATTTCACAGGTGTCCTTTATAAGGACTACCCCCCTTTCCAACAGTTTGGTCCTTCTCTTGCTCTTCTGTTGATCTCAGATCGTTATTGCAGCAATGTCAAGAAATACAAGGTAAAATATACCTTCATTAGTGTTAGAAAATACGTTTTTTTTTTTATAATTCTTTATTTTTTTCAATGACAGTTGGTAATACATTTTACAAAGTGCAGATCATGCAAGAGCCTGATTGTAGTCCAAAGTTGTATACATGGGTCGTAGAATACAGGAAACACAGGCTTGTAACATGGTACATTCTGCGTATATTTGCTAAGTTGTTGCCAGTTGTCATTGAGGGTTTTTTTTAACATGAAGTAGAAACAACAAACTTATATATGTATGACTTTAGTAACGATGGTAACAGTGTGAGGATATTGTCCCCTTGTTTTAGTATCTAACTGTGATGAACAGTGGGCCGGAGTACCGGTTATCTCGGCCCAACAGTGGAAAGGGGTGGAGGGGGGAGGGGGAGGGAAGGTGGGAGGGGTAGAGTCAACAGGTGTGTTTTGGTCTTTTGCTTGTCTGTCATGTCCCCAGTTTGTCTGTATGTCATCATCTGTCTATGTAGTTTTCCCAGGGTTCCCAGATCTTAGAGAATTTTTTGGTGGAGTCTAGTATTCGGGTTGTTAATTTGTCCATGAGATGACATTTTTTGATTTTGTTGAGTACTGAGGTCATTGGGGTGATGTTTGGTCGAAGCCAGGTTTGGGCTAGGGCCCTTCTGGCTGCTAGGGTTATCTTGTTGAGCAGTTGTTGGTCTGGTCTAGGGCAGTTGTCTAGGGGTTTGGCCAGCAGGAACGTCCACGGGTTTAAGTCTACTGGTCTGGTTAAGAGTTGGGATAGTAGCGTTTGGATTTCAGTCCAGAAAAGTTTTACTTTGGGGCAGTGCCACCACATGTGGGTGTACGTCTCTTTTTCTCCGCAGTTTCGCCAGCAGAGGTCGGTAGGTGTCTTTTTCATGTGATATAGTTGGACCGGGGGGTATACCACCAGAACATTATTTTTAAACTACTCTTTCTGCATTGTAACGCAAATGGATGTTTTAGAGTTGGCCTCCCAGATGTCCTGCCAGTCAACACCTTCCAGAGTTTCCCCTAAGTCAGCTTCCCATTTGTCAGTATAGTGAAGGTAGCCCCATTCCCATGTGGTTGAGCAGAGGTGGTAGTAGAGTTGGGTGATCATGCCCCGTTGATATTGTTCTGCATGACAGATTTTTTCAAAAAAGGTCGGTTTAGTTTTGGCGGCTGTTTGCACTGCTGTTTGGGCGGTGTAATTTCTAAGTTGGAGACATCGGAAGAAGTCTGAGGGGGTTAAAGTTGTTCTAGTTTGCAGTTTCGGGAAGGAAATTATCGTGTCGCCTGTATATAAGTGATGGACTCGTTAGAGGCCAGCTCTCTTTAGGCCTCTAAAGTCCCTTGGTCTCATGCCTGGTATAAAGGTCCTGTTGCGATATATGGGGGTGAAGGGGGAGGTTGTGGAAGTTAGTTCAAATTTTAGGGCATACTTGTCCCATATTTGAATGGAGTTGGTGATGGCTGGGCATATTGTTCTCGGGAGTGCTCTGTGCTCTCTATGGGTCCAGATGTAAAATTGTGGGAGGTCTGATTTCATGAGCAGTGATTCTAGGTCTACCCATCTTCTGGTTTCTGGAGGGGTGTGCCATGACGTTATTTGCGCCATTTGGGCCGCTATGTACTAATAGTGTAGGTGGGGCAAGCCTAGGCCTCCTCTCGTTTTAGGGCGGTAGAGTATGTTGCGAGCTACTCCGTGTCTTTTGTTCTGCCATATGAAACGATCAATTGTTCGTTGCAATGAAGCTAGATCGTGTTTTGTTATGGGTATGGGTATGGGTAGGGCTTGAAACAGAAATAGTATACGGGGTAAAACATTCATATTAATCGAATGTATTCTCCCAATCCAGGATATGGGTTTGTCCGCCCAGGTCTCCATGTCCGCTATGAGTTTGGCTATCATGGTTGTGTAGTTTAATCTATGAAGTGCCGAGGGGTCTGCTGGCAGTTTGATGCCAAGGTATGTTAGAGAAGTAGGTGAAATACGTATGTGGTGATCTGAGGTAATTTGGGCAATGTCTGCTTGTGTGAGGGCGCTGGATTTCTCCATATTAGGCTTAAGAAGTTTTAACCATGCATTGTAATAAGATATTTCTTGGTACTTTGCTTCCAAAAATGATCCACTGGGATGTTTTCTTTTATACAAGAAAACTTTTTTCTTCCTGAAGAAGGCTTTTGCGCGTAATGGAAAAGCAAATCAGCCAATGGCTACTTATACTGTTTCATTGCTGCCACTGCAAACTGCATTAAGCCACCTGCTCTCTCTCTTTTGTAATATGTTTGAAAAGCAATGTAGAAACAAACCCTATTTATCGAACACTTCTGGCTAAAAGCTCTTTGGACTCTATGGATAGTTATACAACACTGGAGTGCATGAACTTTAGATGCCGAAATTCCACAACATTTCTAAAGCTGAACTCAAAATTTTTTTTTTCTTCTATATTTTCAGTATGTTTTTGTGCAGTTGTTAAAAATCAGGACATATTGTGAGTCATTGTCTTACAACTTCTAAAATGATTGGACAGACAGATAAGAAAGGCAAAAGTGTATGCAGTTCTACAGGAGTAAAGCAGGAGGCAGTGATTTTGCAGAGCATTTGCTATCCTGGCACTATGTATGTTTGCTTAAGCTGGTGGCTCACTGAGATATTTCCAAAAGGACTGCGTTATTTAAGGCTGACGAGCAGAAAGATTATAGTCCGTATGTATGGTGTCCTTGGTTGCGCGTGATTGCTGGGTGAGAAGAAACAGTATTTATGACATTCGTAACACACGCCAGTTGACATTTATGGTGGTGGAATTGTGGGAAACAGAATTGTTGTCTCCAAAGCATGCACAGGTCTCTATGAACAATCCTTAATACTGTGCAGGTCATAATGATGGAGGGTGCAGGGATGTATGAAGTATGGCACACCTCACAACACCAGCAGGTCCCATTTAAGTTGAGAACCTTCCTCTTTTGTTTACCGCGGAGTCCAGAGGGCAGGCATTATAGTATAACAGTACTAAAAAAGATTTATGAGTGATGGTATCTATATCCTACCAGATTGGCGAAGCGCCATTTCAGTATGATCTCAACCTGTTTCAGGGTTTGCAGGGTACATACCTGCATGCATGGAGGTTGTGTCCTAAG